ACTCCAGTGTCTAGGTAGAGTTCTCCTTCCTGCTTTTCTACACAGGCTGCAACTCTCCTGATCTCTACCACTACTGTCTCATGGCACCTCACCCTCCTACAAATGGCACTCCCTAATGCACGTATCTCCTCACGAGTCCAAGTACTCTACAGTCGGCGCAGATCAATCGATGTTCTCCTTCCCAAGTCGTTCAATCCTAATCGAACGCGGATACTCACCTCCTCTTGCCATTCGAGTTGAGGAGTCATAAAACGAGTTTAACTACGATTCTTCAGTTCCCCTCTCCTATTATCTGACAAGGCGTCGGGGGCTTAGGAAGCCTTTCGAAGATTGTTATACGGGTGTCCCAGACAACGTTCTTTCCTAGGGACAACAATCTATCCTTCTTTTCCCCCACCAGTTTCTTCGCTCTCTCTCAGCACCGACTGTAAACAAGGTCGATCCTCCTCTCTATCGGCAGGTAAATCCGTACTTCATATATTCCAATATCGATGAACCTGACGGTCATCACGCCAGAGTCGTAACTGTATGATATCGGGCGACTTCCTGATTGGAGTCATCCATCATGCATGAGGTTATTCATTACTCAAGTTGGAAAGCCGTGTGATGTACGAAATCTTGCACGGTTTGGTGGGCGCTTTAGTAAACTAGACGGGTGAACGGGCAACCGTTGCAGTGGAACTTTTGACCCAATATTTAGAAGTTACTTTTTTATTTCCTTGGGCAGTTTCTTTCAATAAAATAGGATTGTTTGGATTTTGGTCTATGATGGTCTTTTTATTGATTTTAACTATCGGTTTTGTTAATGAATGGAAGAATGGCGCATAAAAACGGATTTTCTCCCATCCGCTATCCACTAGTTCATACGTCTCAACTTCATACGACTCCCTGGAAAACTTAAGGAAGTGCAAACAACTTTTAACTTCGCTTCTCGCAGCCTATTCCGAGCAATAAATTTTTCCCTCATAGCTTTTAACTCCTTGTTTGAAATCACTTAATTCTCACTCGTCTCCCACGTGGCTTCCAAACACCTTCCTATGCTGATCGCTTGCTTCTCTTCCCTCAGCTTCCAGGCTACTATTCTCCAACACCTCGATTATGCGTAGAACTCCGCTCTCTCTCTCGCCATGTATATCCTAATGTGGTGTACGACGGAATGAATGTAGGGTATTGTCATAACATAGAACTGGTTCCTTTTCCAGTCGTTATCCGCCACCTTGTGCCTAACCACTTGATACAGGAAGGTCTCTTTCTTCTCGATCTTGATCAGACTTCGCTCAACTCTCCCACTCTCATGTTCATGTGATCCACTTCATTTCTCGAACTTACGCTTTCTTTTGGTTGATTCTTCTTCAAGGTTCATCTCTTGTTCAATTTTCGTAGGTCACCTAGTATTCTAAAACAGTTAAGGCAAGTGATACTAACATCCTTTCTGTGGACGCCTCCAGGACAAGGTAGAAAGTTTCGAAGTCGTCCCCAACGTCATAATCAACTCCTTCCAGTACTGGTTATGCGCCGAGAGTGTCCTGATGATTGCTCCATCCACGATAACTCTGGTCAATTCTCCTTCTTTCCTAGCTTCTTTCCTTAAGAGTCTTTCTATCTTGTTCGGGGTCTCATGCCACGATCGAGTCGAAGATTCCCCAGTGAATAATGACGTGCATAGTACGTATTTGACTAGACGGTCATCCTCAACTCCTACTTAGAGAGCGGTCACTCGCGCTTTCCTTAGCGCTTGTCGAGTACAGTCTGCCTCCTCGATCACGCTCAATCTCGCTAGGTGGTTTACCTGCATCACGACATAGGTTACCGGTCCATCTATTTTTCCTACCACATGCATGGAGTGCTTGTCATTGGAATATTGGTTCGTACCACTCATCGTCTCCTATCATTGTTGAGGCGTTTCCTCCGCGTCTCCCTTCTTCTTTCACTCTCCTCTGCGCCTTTCTTCTCCTTTGGCTCTGTAGTTTCTGGTGTTTCTTTTGGTCGCCCTGTCGCTTCCGACGATTGTCCTGATTCTTCGCACCAAAGATTTCTCGCCTTCGCGCTTTCCAGGAATTCAAGTCTCCACCTCTTAATAATTTCTGACTTCGCGGGCCCCTTTTATATTCTAGTCTGCGTTCCTGTCATACCAACCAGACTACTGACTCATACTCTGCTCCTTGCCTCCGCTACCATCTCATCAAAAAACAACTACATGCGCAAGTACTCTACCGACCATACCATCACTTTGTATGTCACCTTCGTTTGAAAGGTTATGCACGTAAAGATTCCTGCTTTGTGCTCGCGGATGAACGCCCTGACACGTTGGAGGGATTTTCGTTCCGTCAGATCTTCCTCTCTGCGTGCTCTGAGTAGAACTCTCAGCGTCAAACCTTCATTCACTAACTGTCTACTCCCATTAACTCCGGCGGACGCTCAAGCCGGCATGCCGCTGCTAATTGCCCTCGTACAAATACCTCAACTCTAGCCCGGCGTACTTCTCCTCTATGCGCCTTCAACAATGTGCAATCAGATCTGCTGGCCTCAGGCAATCTAACCAACAGGTCGCGCCGATCTGTCCTTTCACCGTCTTATAGTCGAATCGCCCCCACCTCGCACTGATGGCGAAGTAGGCCTCCTTAAATCGAGGCGCTAAGCCCAATCCGAGAGTGTATAGCGTATTTTTAACCGCTTTTCTCAGGTTGTCGATGCCCCCATACGGCTGCTTTATTATGAACGTAGGCAGGCCCACCTCCAACCCTCTACAGGGTAGAGGTCTCGCTTAGGGGATCCAAATACGATGCGGACTACGGATTGACTATCTCCTACCAAACTGGCCAATCGCTGACTCACAATAGATCTCGCTAAGGTTTCGTACTTCCACCAGGTTCTACTAACACCAACAATTGTTAGTCTTATCTCGAGGTCTTGAGACGTGTCAAATATAAGATGGCCTATAGCCTTGATCTGACGGCCACTGCTTCTTGCCCTATTCTCTAAGTTGACCGTCTACAGAAATACATCGTCGGTTAGCCACGTTCCTGCATACCTAGTTGGCGTCCTCTCGCTCTCGTCTAAGCGCACCGGGAGAGGGATATGAAACCTTAGAGTGGTCTTCCTAGGTTTAATCAACCCCTTGGCCCTGTAGGAATCAGAATCATGTTGCAGTAGGTACACCCACACGCTTGATTCACTCATTTGCCCATATACCTCACGGATCGGTTCGTGCAGCTCTCAGTCTGATATCAACTCCACCGTCTCAAGGCACCCGAACCTAGACAAGTTCATCCCTATGATCGGGGGAGCTGGAATACCGTCTAATACTTCAATCTCTGCTCTCAAGCTAACTGTCTTCCCTTCCGCCTCTAGTCGTTCCTTTTCAACTTGCACCAACTTAGCCGCTCTCAACTGCTTTTGTATAGATACCCTCCTGTCCGTCTCCTAGACAGGTAAACCCGCACGCAGTACTAATCCAAATCGATGATGCGGTAGGTGAGGACGTACAGGCGCTCATGTTATATGTTGCCGTTCTGAACATACTCATAGTTAACGAGTTCGTTCTCCTTCCTTATCCTCTCCTTCAGGTTTTGTATCACTTCATCATTCTCCTCTCTAGTTGGTCCTCACCAACAAAAAAAAAAAATGAAAAAAAATAGGGGGGTGCGTGCCGTCGCCACCAAGCCCCCGGCATTTTTTGGTTTTTTTAGAAAGAGGGCTTAGTTGCCCCCCCCCCCCCCCCCCGGGGTGGCTGTCACCCCTGGTGGGGGCGGAGCCATGACCGAGCGGGGGCGGGGGTGGTTCGGTGGGCGGCAGGTGCGGGTTCCCACGGGGGCAGTCACGGGGGCGGGGTTCGGGGGTCGGCGAGGGAGTGTTTGGGGTCAGCCGGGGTTGCTGGGCGCGGGGGTCGGTTGACGTGGGTTCGACGGTTGGTAGGGGTCGGCGGGCGCGGGGGTCGAGGGTGCGGGGCTCGTGGTAGAGAGGGGGTCGGCAGGGGAGCGGGGGCAGGCGTCGGCGGGCA